CGAAGATGTAACACAGTGGTATCACTATGCATCTTATATATGATTAGGTATCACAATGTATCTTTTGTTTAACAGAGTCAATATTTTTAGGTATCACAGTGGTATCACCGGAGGACCTCCGGAGAACGGTGGCCGGAGAGAGAAGAGAGGAGAGAGGAGAGTTTTAAAATACCAAAAATATCHTTGCATTAAGATTTTAATTTAAAATTACCAAATTTATAAATTTCCTAATTTATCTATTGATTTGTGGTTAATATTGGTTCTCACAGTTACCACAAACAACTCAGTTCTCCCTTCTATATATATATATATATATATATATGTTTCTCTCCAATTTCCGCCATTTTGCCTTTCTGTTTGCCGTAACCTGTAAGTTTGGAGCTTTTCCTCCCCTTATCTTTCACTTCAATCATACAAGGAGTTGGATTTTTATATGGAACATTGAATTTTTCTCAAATTAAGTTGAGAACGTCTCATATGATGACCATGCCTAGATGGATTTCTATGATGGATATCTACCAAGTTTTTGACTAAATCCTGCAAATATGTTGTTACATGCCCATTCAAACATAACTGTCTGCAAACAACAAATTTGTATACAGATCAAATCCAGCACAGGCCTATGGATTTTGTCATTTTGATACGATGCATATGTACGATATTCATGAGAAAAAAAGAGAAAACCTGTGTCATAACCGAAAAGGAGACCACCAATGCCAGCAATCACAGTCAAACCCAATACATATTTGTTGCTAAAATACGTTATTTTGTGATCAACACCAACATCTATACGCCCTGAACTTCCTGGTACCAATTCAATCGCCATCTTTTCTCTAAATGACTCAAATCGACCGTTGCTAATCTTAGATTCTTATCATCCAAATAACACCGACATTTTGTTTTGATGATTAATATCAAAAATCTTGACACGGGCAAATGATCGAACACGATGAGGGCAAAAGAAACATCCAGGTGACAATTGAGTTTGCTTAATTCCTTGTCAATTGAAGAAGAACCATCTCCAATTGTCGATTCCAAAACTTAAAAAAATGGTAGGTGATTATCAAGATTCAACGAATTACATAAAGAAAACCAAAATGGGAATATTTTTTTGAGGTTTAAGTGATGGGATGAAGGATTGTTCGTAAAGATTTAAGCTTTGACTCAGGGGAGAAAAGATGATAAATTGGTTTTGCAATCCCCTAAAAAAGTGTTCCATCGGTAAATTTTTCCTCTTGTTTTTTGTATACAAAACAATAAAATACACTACAATCCCACTTTTTTTTAATCCTTTAATTTTTTAAATATTTTTTATTATATTCTTTATATTTTTAATTTTTAATCTGTGTTATAATTATATAAATTAATCAACTTTATATTATTATTAATTAATAAGGTATTAATATTCTTTTAATAACTATATAAATTAATTAAATTCACATTATTATTAATTGATTAAGTACTAAGAGTACATGTTCTTTTAATTTTTTTCCCCGGATAGTATTGCTTTGTGAAAAATGCTTCAAAAATCCGAACTTGAAATTTTAAACCCGGTTTTGATGACCACTGCAGAGTTAAATTCAGACGTGAATTTTTCCAGAGTTATGTTGTAAGTCTGAGGGCTGTAAGTGAAAATTATGTCTAGATACATGTTTAGGCGGGAAAAATCAATAACCGTCGCACAGAAACATGACACGTGTCCCCAAAGTTACTTATTTATTAGNTAACAATAAATTGCAATATTTTAAAGACTTTGATTATTTTTTATATTAAATCAACATATCCAGAGTACAAGTATACTCTATATGTTTTTGGTATACATTTAATCCATATTGACATGGAATAATTCATATACTTGCATCTTGAAGTCGACGACGTGTCCAAGGTAACATTCACAGTGTTTTCGCTGTGAGGATTCGTATTTTCTTACATTCACAATGTTCTGTTGTGATGTTTCAAGTATAAAAATATGGTCTTACAAAAATAAGTTGTCTCACATGAACTCAACCCTTAATGACCTTGATTTAACTAAGTTAATGGATTTATTTTAACAACGTTGGCCATATGAAGCATGATCAGGACAAATTGAATGCCACAAGAACCAAATTAATAATAAACACATGATATAGACCCTAATAAAAGAAACATAAAACCATATGGAGCAAATCCATAATTCACTCTTAACCATTAATTTATTATAATTATTAGGTTCGATCCCGTGTATTGCATTGGGTAATTTGAAAAAAATTAAATCATGTCAGGAACTTATCTTACAGATATGAATGATTATCGAAAGTACGATGCTACTTCAGACTTGTACTCTTAAAACAACTCTGAAGTATAACTCTGAAAAATGACTCTTCAGACTTGAATTTAGAAATGAAACTATATCAATAATTAGTTAAAATGAAGTTAACCATAGAATAAAATTAAATGTGTTATTTTGAACAAATATAGACATTTTTGGCGAAAAAAAAACCCTTTTATAGCCGGCATGTTAACCAACAAAACTCGTCTTACAGAACTCGTTGACAACATCAGCAAGTGATAGCTGAAAGCTGTCACGATAAACTATCAGCGATAAGCTGAAAGCTGTCACGATAAGCTGAAAACACAAGCTGAAGGCTGTCAGTAATAACCTGTCAGATTAGCTGAAGGCTGTCAGTGATAAGCTGAAAGCTGAAGGCCGTCAACAATAACCTGTCAGATTAGCCGAAGGCTGTCAGCAATAATCTGTCAGATTAGTTGAAGACTGTCAGTGATAAGCTAAAAGCTGAAGCCTGTCAGCAATAACCTGTCAGATTAGTTGAAGGCTGTCAGTGATAAGCTGAAAACACAAGCTGAAGGCTGTCAGCAATAAGCTGTCAGATTAGCTGAAGAATTTTAGTCTGAACTAAATTCCGTTTATTAGGGAAATCAGTTAAACCACGATAAAAAAAAGATACATTTTTAGAGGGACAGATGTCAACCAAATAGGCCTCTTTGTTTCACTAATGTAAATTTTGTCTCTATACATGTTTAGGCAAGAAAATAAGATAACCGACTCACCAGAAAATGACACGTGTCATCCAAGTTACTTATTTATTATGTGTATAGATGTCAGCAGTGGCGGATGCCCTATGGTTATGGGGGCTTTGGGGGCATGACCCTGTGCTTTTTTATGTAGTTAGTTACCTATACATTCCGTTTGCAGTGTAAAAAAGAATATACTTCGGCCCACCAACTCTGCTTAGCCCATTTACTTCAATCATTATCTAAGCCCAAAGGGCTGGACTCTTTTATTTTATTTATAAGGAACCCCAAACTCTAAACAATTATCCATAATCCACTCTCCCTTTTACTTTAGCCCATTTCTCACAAGAGTTCTACAAATTTTTGAGATTTATGATTTATAAGATATATATTTATTACATTAAAGTAAATTAGACTCGTTTATGTAAATCATATTTGGGAAAAAAGTTGATTACCGATAATCTCAATCAGTCCCAAACGGAATCCGTCTCCAAGAACACCACCAGGTCATATTTTGGCTCACTCGACACGACTAGTAATACATATGTATAAAAGATTTGGTTCGGCGTAAGGGTGTTAACAATCTAAGTTTTTAACGAGCTACTTAAACTTGAACTTATTAATTTTTAAGTTCAAGTCGATCTCGAACATAAAATGAAACCCACTTAACTTAACGAGCTAAACTTCATAGCACTAATATTCGACTCGTCTCGTTCGAGCCAATAAACAAGTTAATCATCTTGAGTTCGACTCAATAAATGAGCTTATATAGTTTGAATTTTGTTCACTACTTTTTCAAGCCGAACTTGAACTATTTGTTATTCGACTCGACTTAGTCCCTTTCGGCCCCCGTGCTATATTCGGTCCGTTCTCAAAGATTTTTACAAGAGTGTTTACTTCCGGTCAGAATACCAAATCTCACTTGGAATTCGACATCATATGTATGAGCGGAGATTCTCTATATCATCATTACCTTAATTAATTCTATGAGGGCCTGAAAGATAACGATTTTGAAAATCCGTCATGATTTGGAGCAAATGCAAACACAACCTGTCTTTTATTATCTTTCTTTTTCTATCTACACGTCCATAAGAATTCAAATCCTTATCTTATATAACGTCTTTCATGTTTTAGAACCTCTCTTATTTAAGAATTTGATGTTTGAAATAAAAGCCAACATATTTTTAAAATGTCATCGCTAGAAAAGGAATCATATTTTCAATGTTCGACTTTATGAAAAGACGTCATATTCTACATGTGTTTAAACTTATTGAAATAGTTAAATAAATCAAGCGTAAACTACAAATTTGGTCTTTATAGTGTGTCAAAAATAGCACCTTTTCCTTTCAGTTTTGAAATTATAAAAGTACTGTTTATTGAAGCATGTTACTTATAATTCAAGATTATAAGTGAATTATGCGTAAATACAATTTATTGAAGCTTCATTTTAAATTCGTGTAACTAACTACAGATAAACATAATCAAATACAGGATATACATTTCATTTTAAATATAAAAAAAATCTAAAATATAATTAGGATAATTATTGAGTTTTAACAAGACATTTAATTATCATCTTTATGAAAAATTATATCAGTAAACCGAAAATAAATTACTTTGTTATTAAATATAAATTTAACTATAATAAAAAAATTGAATTAAAGATATTACATAAAAAAAACGTGAACTCTTAAATGGTTAATTTGATACTAACATCGATATATTTTTTTTTAAATTTTATGAGATATTTGAATTTATATTTATTCACACATGAAAACATGATCCCTTTATTAAAAGCACATAATACCATAATATAATACAAGTATATAATGCATATTTATCATTCCAGTACTTTTAACCAAAAACACACCTTGTATTTGCTCCCATATCTACAACAATATCTTTATGTTCTTGATTTGGATTTCAGTTCAAATTCATAACAAGAACATGTTTATCTCTCCAAACACCTCTTTCATTTCTTCCCTCCAACAGATGTTATTTTCGTTTCTGCAAAATTCGAACAAAGGCTGGAAGATAACTCTCTACCAAAGGTGTCGACCAAATCAATTTCATCGCAGTCCTCTTCGTATCAATCATCACCATTATCAGGTACCAATTATCAAATGGATTCACCATCATCATGTGCTCATTTTCATCTTTTTCTTTGATTTTAGGTTTTGAGTGCACCCGCAATAGAATTTTTACCTTCTTTGAAACAGATTTTCGCTGCTAACGGTGTCTTTTGTCTTTAATTTTAGGTTTCTAAAACCAATCAACCTTGAGCTATTGTTTCCGGAAGAAAGAAGAAAGGTTTATCCTTTTTTTTTTACTTCTATTAACTTTTATTTTGATGGTACATTTTGGGGTATTATTGATTTCTTTCTTATTGAATTACCAATGAGAATCCTTTTTCTATTGCCTCTTCTTAATTAAAGTTCATGGTGCTTAGAGTTTTGGATCAGAGTCAAATTCATTTGTAAGTTGAAGAAGCAAGCATTTACTCTGGTTTTAAGCTCATTTTCTTTTCTGGTTCATGAACAAATTCAATGTGGGTTTATCTGCAATTCTTGAATAATATATCAATATAAAAGAAATGGATTTTATACATCATAAATCTGTATATTTTTGGAGGAATTCTTATTTTCTCATAGTTGAATAGATTTTAATCTATGGTTGATTAAAAAGGTCAATCTCAATCAGAATTTTACCGCATTGTGTATTGTAGTTTTATGTAAGAATATTCTTCTTTCACTAAAATTTGTCTTTTTATGTGTATTTGATGCATTTGTTGATGGATTTTTAGGCAACTGTTTT